CATTACCATTGCCACCAGTGTAGAGTACTAACCATTGCCACCAGTAATTAGTACTAACCTTTGCCACCAGTATAAAGTACTAACCATTGCGCCAGTATAGAGTACTAACCATTGCCACCAGTATAGAGTACATACCATTGCGCCAGTATAGAGTATTAACCATTGCCGCCAGTATAGAGTACTAACCATTGCCACCAGTATAGAGTACATACCATTGCGCCAGTATAGTGTACTAACCTTTGCCACCAGTAAAGAGTACTAACCATTGCCACCAGTATAAAGTAGTCATACCATTGCGCCAGTGTAAAGTACTAACCATTGCCACCAGTATAGAGTACAAACCTTTGCCACCAGTAAAGAGTACTAACCATTGCGCCAGTATAGAGTATTAACCATTGCCACCAGTATAAAGTACTAACCATTGCCGCCAGTATAGAGTACATACCATTGCAACCAGTATAGAGTACTAACCATTGCCACCAGTATAAAGTACTAACCATTGCCGCCAGTATAGAGTACATACCATTGCAACCAGTATAGAGTATTAACCATTGCCACCAGTATAAAGTACTAACCATTGCAGCCAGTATAGAGTACTAACCATTGCCACCAGTATAGAGTACAAACCATTGCCACCAGTATAATGTTAGACCAGCGTTCACAGCCATGCAGTCTTTTCAGTCTTTATACATAACCTGTAGCTCATTAGAGAGCGAGATTTAATTTCAATCGAGATTTAAAAAAATACTTTGAGATTTTGATTTGTAATGCAGAGTTAAATGCACATGTTATGCATACATTACATGAATTTTGACCACTGTGATGCATTGTATTACAATTACATGTAATGCAAAATGTGTGCTTCACACATTACATGCAATTACTTTGGAAAATGAATTACATTACACTACATTACATCTACAGTTTTGCATGACTCCATGCCTGTATAACATCAAATAAACTTACAGGACTTAAGGATTTAAAAACATTTTATTCTGCCTGATTTATAAATTTGAGTGTGAAGAGCTGACAAAAAATATGACAAATTGACTTGGTCAGGATGAGTTGACTAAAAACTTGACAAGTTGACCACAGGATGAGTTGACCAAGAGAAAAGATGACCTGACAGTGTAGTAAATAGTGTACATGTAAATAACCACTGGAGCAAGATTTTAATTTAAGTCTTTTTGTATTTAAGTGGTGACAACGTACACCATTTTAAGCAAATTTATCAATGACTGTATATTTTTATGATGAAACTATATTGAATTATAAACATGGATCAGCTGAAAATTGTATGCCAACTTAAAACTGCTTCAAATTAAGTGTTGTTAACCTTTAAATTATGTCCCAGGCATTATATATAAAACTGATGCTACTTCTATGTAGTTGAGGCAGATTATTCCTAAAGAAACAATCTCTTCAAACGTCAGATTTATTGACACAACCATTTTATTTTGTAACTCTTGACAGTCTATATTTATTACAATGAACATTATTGATTAATTATTAACCAGGTTTTTTAATAGAAAAATCTGGATATTAGAATGGGTATGTTGGCAGCAGGCTTCCATAAACAATTTCTTCTGTGCGCATTTAGTGTTTTGTGATTCTACAATTATGCCCCTTCATATTAAAGACCCCAAGAGAAATACACTTCTGTCGCCACAAAGAGTTAACCTAAAATTAAATATCTCCTAATGACATCATTTATTTAATGATATCTTGCATAATTATGTAGTAAGTGGATACCTTAAATGGTTCTCAAATTTTGTGTGGAGTTAGAAGTCTCTAGGGTCAAGGTCAAGATCACTGGTGTAAAATAAAATTAAGCATTTGTGCTCATACAGCCTTTATTTTAATCTGATGTATTTCATGTTTAATACAAACATGTCAAGGATGTATTTCATGTTTAATACAAACATGTCAAGGGAGGTCCTCTTCCTTGGTCTTCAAGTAGGGGTCAGTTGTCATTTGAGTCAAGGCCAAGGTCACCGATGTCAAAATAGATTTTTACACTTTTACAGGTGTATTAACCTTATTCTATTGATAGATGTCTTTTATATTTGGTAGAAACATGAAGTTGAGGTCTTTTCTTTTTGATAGAGTTAGGGGTCAGTTGGGTCAAGGTCACCAGTGCTAAAATATATTTTACGCTTTTGCCCATACAGCCTTTATTTATTGACAGATGTATTTCATATTTGGTTGGAAGATAGCTTGCATGGTATTCTTCCTTTTGATTTTGGTATGTGTCAGTTTGTCAAGGTCACCAGTGCTAAAATAAGATTTTAACGCTTTGCCCATACAGCCTTTATTTATTGATAGATGTATTTCATATTTGGTAGGAATATAACTTACATGGTATTCATCCTTTCGATGGAGTTTGGGGTCAGTTATGTCAAGGTCACTTGTGCTAAAATAGATTTCATATATTTGCTTATACAGCCGTTATTTTTTGAACTTATGTTTTTTATAATTGGTAGGAATATAATTTGCATGGTATTCATCCTTAATTGGATGGTGTTAGATGTCGATTGTGTCAAGGTCACCAATGCTAAAAATAGATTTCACACATTTGCTTATACAGCTTTTATTTTTTGGACTAATGTTTGTTTTATATATTTGGTAGGATTATAAGTTATAACTTGCATGGTCTTCTTCCCTTAGATGGAGTTAGGGGTTAGTGGGTCAAGGTCAAGGGTGCCAGTAATAGATTTCTACATATTTTTTTTGACTGATGTTTTTCATATTTGGTTGAATGATAACTTGCATCCTCTTGATTGAGTTAGGGGTCAATTTGATTAAGGTCACCTGTGCTAAAAATTGATTTTTACTCTTTTGTCAATATTTGATAAGTTTAATAAGTTTTTATTTATAAACAGATGTGTTTCCTATTTGTGGGAATATATTTTGCTTGGCCTTCTTTCTTTGGTTTGAGTAAGGGGTCAGGGGGTCAAGGTCAAGGGTGCCAAAATAGATTTTTACACATTGGCTTATACAGCCTTTATCTATAGACAGATGTTTTTCATATTTTGAAGGAACATATTTTTGATGGTCTAGTGCTAGGAGTCACAAGGTCAATGTCACTTGTGCTAACAATAGATTATTTGCACTTTTTAGCTCGACTATACGAAGTATATGGAGAGCTGTCCTACTCGCCCCGGCGTCGGCGTCCGCGTCCGCGTCCAGATTTTAGATTAAAGTTTTGGTGCAGTAAAATATTTTTCACTATAACTTTGTCATTTCTTAAGGTATCAACTTCAAACTTCAAATATATGTTCCTTATCATCAACCACATCTTATGTGACAAGGTTCATAACTCTAGCACAAATATTTTCAGATTTATCTCCCCTTGAACTTAGAATTTTCCTTAAAAAATACTATTTTTTACTGTTACTTTTTATTTCTTAAGGGATCAACCTCATACTTCAAATATATGTGCCTTATCATCATCCCCATCTGATGTGACAAGTTCATAACTCTAGCACACATATTTTTTAGATTTTATCTCCCCTTGAACTTAGAATTTTCCTTAAAAAATACTATTTTTACTGTTACTTCTTTATTTCTTAAGGGATCAACCTCATACTTCAAATATATGTACCTTATCATCATCCCCATCTTATGTGACAAGGTTCATAACTTTAGCACCAATATTTTCAGATTTATCTCCCTTGAACTTAGAATTTTCTTTAAAAAATACTATTTTTTACTGTAACTTATTTATTTCTAAACGGATCAACTTCATACTTCAAATAAATGTACCTTATCATCATTCACATCTTATGTGACATGGTTCATAACTCTAGCACCAATATTGCAAGAATTATCTCCTCATCAAACTTAGATTTTTTTACTAGAAAAATGTTATTTTTTACTATAACTTTTTTTAGTTTTAAAGGTATCTACCTCAAACTTCAAATACTTTATTCCTTATAATCAATTATATTTTTATGTGACAATGTTCATAACTCTTGAAGTAATTTTTACAGATTTATTTCTCTTTGAACTTAGGATTTTCTTTAAGAAATATTATAACTTTGTTACTTTTTAATTTATTAAGGTATCTACTTCAAACTTCAAATATATACTTGTTATCATTACATACATGTTGTGTGACAAGGTTCATAACTTTAGCATGACAATTTCTAGAATTATTTCCCTTGATCTTGGAATTTATTTTAACAAATGTTATTTTTTTACTATAACTTAATACATAGTTATACATTATTGATTTTTCTTTCATAGTTTTGTCCTCCTTACTGCGTCCAGTATTTTATTAGTCGAGCTTGGCTGTCTCCTGTGACAGCTCTTGTTTATACAGGCTTAGTATTATTTTTTACCAATGTCTCATATTTACAAGGATCATACCTAAGGTGGCCCTTTAAGTTTGGATGGACTTTGGGGTCACTGGGTTATAAATATCAAATAAAGTTGAATATTTTTCAACTTCATCACAAGTCATAGCAGTGACTTTCCAACTGATATTTTTCACAATTACAAAATGCCATGACTCTGTTAAGTTATATAACTGTGTTTACAATCATTTGGCAATTTTTCTGTCATAACTGAGTGAATGGGTAAACATTTTTTGAAAAATTGTTACTGACAAGAATCTGAGCTGGAGGTATTTGTGTTTAACAAACATGTTTTTGTTAATTTCCTACTTGTTTATGATATTTAACTTTTTTATATTCATCTTAAGTATTGTCCCTTTAAATATAAAGTGCAACAGTTTGAACAGCTGGCCCAGTAAATAGTTAGTTGTCACACTGGTTTGATAATGTATCACACAGTTTGATTGGTTCAAACAAGGGCATAACTAATAAAGCAAGGTGGATTGTTATAAGCATGTATTGTATTTCGTTTAAGGACTGGAAAAATCAATAGAGTTTTGAATAGAGTATTCTATGTTCAATCAGTCTGACCTTATTAATAGTTTAATTGTTCCAATAGCCTTTTAAATCAAAGACTTATATTTCAAGAGGGTGTATTAGCGTTGTCAACAAACCATTGTGTAGATAAATGCAATGCACCATTTAAATTACATCTAAAGTGATCACCTGAAAATTTACTATTGTGTTTAGACTTTTACCGCTTTGTTAATAGTGAATTAAGAGAAAATGAAAATTTGAATTAATTTTCAGTTTTCATTGCCTATTTTCTAAAGGATTACATAAAAATAGTTTCATGATTTTGTGAAGATAGCTTAATATAGAAAAGACAAGCAAAATGATGGGAAAAGTGTTAAAGAAATCAAAGACAATGTCACAGATTGACTTGGACAAGCCAATAATTAAACCTCATTATTATCCCATTTCAAAAGCAGGAATTTTAACAGAACGAAATGAAGCCAATAGAGCAAAAGTTGGAATTGTTAAAAGGAATACTATTGCTAATATTAATGAGGAAAAACTTCTGAAAAAGTTAAAGCATGACACTATTGTGGAGAGAAATGAATCTGAAAGTGTTAATAGTAAAAAGGGAAATGAAGTAAAACAAGTTAAAGAAGGAACAGATATTGGAAGTTTAAAAACAGACAGGAGTAAAGGGGAGAAGAAAAGTAATATTTCAAAAAGGGAAAATACTGAATTGAGTATGAAAGATATGAAAAAGAATGCTGGTGTTGTTAATGAAGGTGAGAGGTTTGAGCTTTTTCATTACCACCCAGAGAAAGATTATGTATACATAGTAACAGATACATCTCTTACAAAGAATCTGACACATGAATTTAAACCAATGTAATTTTTTTTCTTTTGATAAGTCATTTTTTTGTGTTGCCTCCACAGAGCAGTTGGGACATTTATATAGGAATCACTTCTCTGTCCTCTGTTTGGCTGTCCGTCAGAAAACTTGTCTGGACTACTAGTGCAATTTCATCTAAACTTTACAAGAATGATCAGTATCAAGTCTACTTGTGCATATCATTGGCATTTTCCGGTTCAATGGTTCTTGTGTGTTGCAAGATACACAGAATCTTGTCCAGACTACTTCTCAGAAACTACTTGTGCAATCAATTATCCAAACTATACAGGAATGATCAGTTCTAAGTCTTGTTGTGCCTATCATCAGCTTATTTTGGTGCAATGATTTTTATCAGAATTATGGCTCTTTAATGATTTTAATTTTGTCTACTCCTCTTATACTACTTATGCAATTTCAATGAAACATTTCAAGATTGATAGGTTGCTCAAGTACTTGTGCACATTACATGAGTTGTCGAGTTGAAGGATTTTTAGCTGAGTTATGGCCGAATAAAAAACGTGTTTTGCCCTGTTAATGATATTTTTGTCTTCTGCTACATAGAAGCTTTAACTTGCAATTGGCTATCATGAGGGGACACCTGATCACCCTTGATTTCGGATTGGAGTTTGCTTTGTTGTTGACTTTTTTGTTAAGAAGGTTATTTGCAGAATCTGTTTATGGTATTCCTAACTTTAGAAACTCACTTAATTGTACAAATCTTTGAAAATGTTTGAGTACAAATGCTGTAATATATGAGAAAAAAAAACCAACATTTTGTAACTAAATCTTGGAACTATATGGAACAAATATTTTTCTTATCTTACAGACTGTAGTAAATGTATACAACAAAATCAAATAATGTCAGATGTGGAACAAATATTTTTCTTATCTTACAGACTGTAGTAAATGTATACAACAAAATCAAATAATGTCAGATGTTGTATAATGTCTTATTCTGTTTTGAATTTGGGACAATGCATTGTTATTTTCAAGGAATTCAGGTGATATAATTAAATTTCAGTGAGTGTCCTGAATATATGACTGGTCAGGTTAAAAAGGTGAAAAGTGTGCATGAAGGCATGACATAATCTGTACTGCCTCAGGTAGCATATAGGTGTGCCTGTATTGTTGTTAGTGCCCAAATACTCTTCATTCTTTGCTTTTCTGTTAAAGAGAAATGTAGTTTAATATATAGCATAACACAGGTATTGTTTTTAGCTCGACTATACGAAGTATATGGAGAGCTGTCCTACTCGCCCCGGCGTCCGCGTCCGCGTCCGCGTCCGCGTCCAGATTTTAGATTAAAGTTTTGGTGCAGTAAAATATTTTTCACTATAACTTTGTCATTTCTTAAGGTATCAACTTCAAACTTCAAATATATGTTCCTTATCATCAACCACATCTTATGTGACAAGGTTCATAACTCTAGCACCAATATTTTTAGATTTATCTCCCCTTGAACTTAGAATTTTCCTTAAAAAATACTATTTTTTACTGTTACTTCTTTATTTCTTAAGGGATCAACCTCATACTTCAAATATATGTACCTTATCATCATCCCCATCTTATGTGACAAGGTTCATAACTCTAGCACCAATATTTTCAGATTTATCTCCCCTTGAACTTAGAATTTTCCTCAAAAAATGCTATTTCTTACTGTTTCTTCTTTATTTCTTAAGGGATCAACCTCATACTTCAAATATATTTACGTTATCATCATCCCCATCCTATGTGACAAGGTTCATAACTCTAGCACCAATATTTTCAGATTTATCTCCCTTTTAACTTAGAATTTTCCATAAAAAATATTATTTTTTACTGTTACTTATTTATTTCTAAAGGGATCAACTTCATACTTCAAATATATTTACGTTATCATCATCCACATCTTATGTTACAAGGTTCATAACTCTAGCACCAATATTGCAAGAATTATCTCCCCATAAACTTAGATTTTTTTACTAGAAAAATGTTATTTTTTATTATAACTTTTTTATTTTTAAAGGTATCTACCTCAAACTTCAAATACTTATTCCTTATCATCAATTACATTTTATGTGACAATGTTCATAACTCTTGAAGCAATATTTACAGATTTTTCTCTCTTTGAACTTAGGATTTTCTTTAAGAAATATAATAACTTCTTTACTTTTTAAGGTGTCTACTTCAAACTTCAAATATATATTTCTTATCATTACACAAATGTTGTGTAACAAGGTCCATAACTCTAGCATGACTATTTCAAGAATTATTCCCCTTGATCTTGGAATTTATGTTAACAAATGTTATTTTTTTACTATAACTTAATACATAATTATTATACATAATTGATTTTTCTTTCGTATTTTGTCCTCCTTACTGCGTCCAGTATTTTATTAGTCGAGCTTCGCTGTCTCCTGTGACAGCTCTTGTTTAATAACATGGATAAAAAAGGACTTACAACAATTAATTGAAAGGGAAATTTGTTGTGGATAAGGTGTATTTATTATTTTTATTTATTAAGTTTTTTTTTAGTTTTTTAGCTCACCTGTCACAGAGTGTCTATTAAGTTTGTTCAAATAAAAGCCCTGGGGTCAAAATTGGCCCCGCCCCAGGGGGTCATTGATTTTCCCTATATGCATAAAGTAAAAACTTAAAAAACTTCTTTTAGAGAACCCAAAGAGCTAGAGCTAAGATACTTAGCATGAAAGATGTTCTAATGGGTGTCTACCAAATTTGTTCAAATAAGAGCCCTGGGGTTAAAATTGGCCCTGTCCCGGGGGTCATTGATTTTCCTTATATGTGTATTGCAAAAGCTTTTTAAAAAAATCTTCTTTGAAAAAACCAAATAGCTAGAGTTTAGATATTAAGCATGAAACATCTTCCAGTTAGTGTCTTCAAAGTTTGTTCAAATAAAAGCCCTAGGGTCAAAATTGGCCCTGCCCCGGGGGACATTAATTTTCCTTATATATGTGTATAGCAAAAACTTAAAAATCTTCATTGAATAAAAACAAATAGCTAGAGTTTAGATATTAAGCATGAAACACCTTCTAGTGAGTGTCTTCAAAGTTTGTTCAAATAAAAGCCCTGGGGTCAAAACTGGCCCCGCCCTAGGGATGTCATTGCTTTTAACTATATGTGTATAGTAAAAACTTAAAAAATCTTTTTTTTAAAACTCAATGAGCTAGACCTAAGATGTTTAGCATGAAACATCTTCTAATGGGTGTCTACCAATTTTGTTCAAATAAAAGCCCTTGGGTTTAAACTGGCCTTGCTCTGTGGGCCTATATACAGGTGAGCGACTTCAGGGCCATCATGGCCCTCTTGTTTAACATAAGATTTTATTTTTGAAGTTCAAAAAATCATTGTCCTTTTATAGATTTATTTTTTTATTCAGCTTTTTCTTAACATGATCTGTAGATCTACTTAGATTTTATTAATGTTCATTGATAAGAAAATAGATAACAATATGAGAATAATGCATTTTTCTAGTTCAAATGTGATTAATAACAAAGCATTTGAATGATAATTAAAGCTTGCAAAATTATACAACAACACACAAAATATTTATTTATTTTTATTTGAGAGGTCATCAGACATCTCCACAGTGTTGAAATTGATTGCTGGTGGCATCCATTTTTGCGTATCAAATTGAAGCTAATGCATCGTATTTTAAGCCTTACAACATTAGAATCAGTCTACAAAAAATGTTATGCGCATGCTCCGCCTCAAAATACGACTTAACTTAAACGAAAAATAAACATCGAAGTGAACAAATCGGTAAAAGGAAAAATCGGAAAATATCATTTACGTTACTTAACACTACGAGCACTGGTTCATACCATTTTTAATCCTTTAAACTGTATAAATTGATACTTGTTTTATGAATAGCGTTTTACTATTTCATGCTCCGAAAATAAGGAACAGTGAACATTATGGCACTTTCATATGACCGAGTGAACGGTGTACCGAAAATTTGCTGCTACTTTCACTTTTGAACTGAAATTTCTCAAGTTTGATTTTCTTGCCATATTGTAGTTGGAGGCATGCAGCAGTATATATTGTTTATTCCAATCAAATGATATATACATTATAAATGTAAATCTGGGACTTAAAATTGTTTGATTAATATATTTTATGCCCGTTTTGGAAAATCTCTGGTGTCTTTTATATCTCCAAATATTTTCGAAATTATCAAATCTTCAACAGCTGCAAAAAGACCTCTTGCATGCTTCTTTTTAAAGAAGCAAACTTGTTCTAACAGAGAACTGTCAATAATATGTTGAAATGTATTGAGCAGAGATGTAATTCTATGACATCAAATGGTGTATTGGTGTCATGTCTGATGTGTATGTATATTATGTGTAAGCATTCCTTGTTATGTTGTACATAATTATGTTGTGCAAATGTTTAATAGGGTAATAGTGTGAAGTGTGTTACAATAACATATATGATGAATATCATTTCAGGCGAAGGATCATATGAATATGACAACAGATTTTTCAAGTATGAAGGACAATGGAAAAATGGCAAAAAACATGGTAAATTTTAACTTAAATTTAAGAAAGAAAAGTCACTTAAAATTTGCCTATTGCATTGATCATTTGAAAAATTGTAAAAAAAAATCTTGTTTTACTCTGAATTTTTTTTTTTAAAAAGATTTGTTTAATGAACTGACATTATTTGTTGTTAAATTACAAATTGTTAAAGTACAAGTTGTAAAAGTACAATGGTCTTAGACAATTTAATTCTATTTTTTAAATTTTATGTAACCAAATCAGTTAATCTGTGGGATTAAATGTTAATTTTTTATTAATATCGGTCAATATGTATGGATTAAAGAATTTGACCTTTAAATGAATTAATGGATTATATGTTTGTTTTCCACTTTGAACTGATATTTCTTAGAAATAAGTAGCCAGAAGCATATTGCATAACATAGATTATAATGACATAAGGTACAAATTTACACACCTAATGTAATGTCTTGTTCTTTTGCTCATTATTTTGTGTGTTCTTCAAGCTTTGAATTCCCCTTGTTGTTGTTTTTTTTCTGCTTTTCTTTCCTTTTTTGTCAGTTTTTACAACAGTATAATAAATGTTTGTCTTTATAATTAGAAAATGCTCTTTGACTTGAAAAAGACTTTCAAAAAAGTTATTATGAAAGTGTGGTTAGTTAAACAGTTAAATTGAAAGTGCTGTATTTAGCTTGACTTCACGAAGTATGTGGAGAGCTGTCCCACTCACCTGGAACAGTAACACCCTATCATGTATCAATGGCTCTCCTAAGAAGGCCACTGGCTTTATCATTATTAGCTCACCTGTCACAAAGTGACAGGGTGAGCTTTTGTGATCGCTTTTCGTCCGGCGTCCGTCCGTCCGTCCGGCGTCCGTCCGTCCGTCGTCCGTAAACTTTTACTTTAAATGACATCTCCTCATAAACCACTAAGCCAATTTCATCCAAACTTCACAGGAATGTTCCTTTGGTGGTCACCTTTAAAAATTGTTCAAAGAATTTAATTCCATGCAGAACTCTGGTTGCCATGGCAACCGAAAGAAAAAACTTTAAATATCTTCTTTTAAAAAACCATAAGAGCTAGAGCTTAGATATTTGGCATGAAACATCTTCTAGTGAGTGTCTACCAAGTTTGTTCAAATAAAAGCCCTGGGGTCAAAATTGGCCCCGCCCCGGGGGGTCATTGATTTTCCCTATATGCATATAGTAAAAACTTAAAAAATCTTCTTTTAAAGAACCCAAAGAGCTAGAGCTAAGATATTTAGCATGAAACATGTTCTAATGGGTGTCTACCAAGTTTGTTCAAATAAAAGCCCTGGGGTCAAAATTGGCCCCGCCCCGGAGGGTCATTGATTTTCCCTATATGCATATAGTAAAAACTTAAAAAATCTTCTTTTAAAGAACCCAAAAAGCTAGAGCTAATATATTTAGCATGAAACATGTTCAAATGGGTGTCTACCAAGTTTGTTCAAATAAAAGCCCTGGGGTCAAAATTGGCCCCGCCCCGGGGGATCATTGATTTTCCCTATATGCATATAGTAAAAACTTAAAAAATCTTCTTTTAAAGAACCAAAAGAGTTAGAGCTAAGATATTTAGCATGAAACATGTTCTAATAAGTGTCTACCAAGTTTGTTCAAATAAAAGCCCTGGGGTCAAAATTGGCCCCGCCCCGGGGGTCATTGATTTTCCCTATATGCATATAGTAAAAACTTAAAAAATCTTCTTTTAAAGAACTCAAAGAGCTATGGCTAAGATATTTAGCATCAAACATGTTCTAATGGGTGTCTACCAAGTTTGTTCAAATAAAAGCCCTGGGGTCAAAATTGGCACCGCCCCAGGGGTCATTGATTTTCCTTATATGTGTATAGCAAAAACTTAAAATCTTCTTTGAAAAAACCCAAATAGCTAGAGTTTAGATATTAAGCATGAAACATCTTCTAGTAAGTGTCTACAAAGTTTGTTCAAATAAAAGCCCTGGGGTCAAAACTGGCCTGGCCAAAGGGGTGTCATTGTTTTTAACTATATGTGTATAGTAAAAACTTTAAAAAAATCTTCTTTTAAAAAGCCCAATGAGCTAGAGCTTAGATGTTTAGCATGAAACATCTTCTTATGGGTGTCTACCAAGTTTGTGCAAATAAAAGCCCTTGGGTTAAATTGGCCCTGCAATGTTGGGGGGGGGGGTTGTGGGGGGGGCCTATATACAGGTGAGCGATCTCAGGGCCATCATGGCCCTCTTGTTCAGATCTGATATAATGTGTAGGGTGGGCGAGGGTGTGGGTTGGTGGTTTAAACCTTTGTAGGTTTTTTACAATATAAGGAAGGCCATACTGTAATACTGTTTTTTACAGAATTGTAAAATCAGCATAGGTATGTGATAAAAGTAAATGTGGAATAGGAAATTCAACCATTCTGGTAGAATGATCTTAAAGTGGTAGGTTTACATTTACCTGTAGTTATTAAAAGTTAAACACCATATAATACAAGCTGTAACTATAAAAGCTTTCATTGAGCTACAGTGAGTGAGTGTTAATGCTGTTTTAGATACATTCATAAAGCGTCCTTCAATATATTTAAGCAAATTACTCTGTGCTTAATTTGTAAAGGTGAAACCTGTAAAGGAAAGTCCAGTATATTTCAACAAATGCTGATTATTGTGTCGTTGTCACTCAATTTTAAAGTAAGCCCCAAGGATATAAAACTATTTTCGGAGTTCTGTCTAAAATCTCATGATTTTCATTGGTCAGTGGAAATTCTGTGGCAGTTTCTGACCAATCAAATAACTGAGATCTGAGTTTGAGCTAACAGTATATGTCTTCATAACCTCGGACACTGGTATGTTGGCAACAGAGGTTATATTGACATACTGTTACCTCAATAGTGCTGCTTGAAAGGCTTTATATCATAGGAGATAGGAAGATAAAGTAGTAAAATTTCTATTTTCAGGTTCAGGAAAATTAGTATTTTTAGATGGAAGTTATTATGAGGGAACTTTTCAAAATGGTGAGATTGAAGGGTTTGGCACACGATACTTTGCAGCAACAGGTTGCAAGTACCAGGGCCAGTTTAAAAAAGGAGAACTTCATGGCAAAGGTCGTATGGTTTGGCCCGATGGCTCCATTTACGAGGGACAATGGGAAAAAAATCAACAGCAAGGTTAGTGGCATCTGATAATTTGTTTTTGAGAATTTAATTACCGGTAAGTGAAACTGATAACTTGTATGCTTCTTCTCTTATTCAGAAAGAATTTAAAACTGAAATGTTTCACTCTCGATCTCTTCAAGAAAAAATTTTCACATTCGTAAAATGTTATTCAATGTGCATAACCAGTGTGTTTAAATTATCCATAGCAATTAGGACTTGTGATTCACTAACAAAAATTTAAACTGGAAATACCTTGGTGTTATGAAACTATTTATATGTTTGAATGGGTGTCATATAAATTTGTGAAAAGGGCCAACAATGGAACATGTTTCTTGTAAGTATGGGATGAATTTTAAAATAGGGAAAATCTGTATGATTTTTATAAGATGAGATATAATGTTTAATGAGATGAAAAAAAATATACCAGATCTGGTTTGTATGAAAGTAATCTGTTTTTGTTTTCATTTTATCTAAATATCTTTATACAATTTCATGACTTTATGCTGGTATCATATATTTTCCAATTTACTGATTACATTTATATTGTGAGGTATTTTTGTCATTGAAGGATTTGGAATGATGAAGTCAGCAAAAGAGAACTGTATATACAAGGGAACATATCGTAACAACAAGAGACAAGGTCGTGGAATGATGATATATCCGTAGGTTCTTTTTGTTATATATATTTATATTAATTCTTAATATTCAAAGATATCATGTTTATATCATTCCCTGCATGCTAGTACTTTAAATGATAGCCTGGCTTAATCCAGCCATGCCAACCTTTGTGTATATGGTATAGTCCATCTAGATCTGGTTTCATACATCAATATTTGGCTCAGTTCATCTAAATATAGATAAAATTACATCGTTAGGATTAGCCCATCATAGTTATGGCTTAAAATATATAGATGTTGATTATTCCATCAGGATATGTTATTCCATCTAGATATGTCTCAATACATGTAGATTTGGCTAAGTCCATCCATTTAGTTATTGCTAAATACATTTGTCTGAGTCCATCTAGATATGTCTTAATACACCTTTATTTGGCTTAGACCTTCTAGAATATAATTGCTTAAACATCCAGGTTTGACTTAGTCCACCAAAATAGGCTTATTACTTGCAGATTTGGCTTTGTCCATCCATCTAGATATTGCTAAATACATTCAGGTTTGGCTTAGTCCTTCAAGATTTGGCTTAGTCCATCAACATATGGCTTTCTGCATTCAGATTTGGCTTAGTCCTCAAAGATAAGGCTTTAAAGCTATGTTCACCTTGATGCAGCCCTGGCTTATAGGATTTTGACCAGGCTCTAATGCTGGGCGTGTGTAGTCTTGTTATATTGTAGAACTCATTCCATGTGGCTTTTAGATGTACATATAACATAGCTATATAAACATAGATAATTATAATATCCATAGAATACTTGTAGAAGGTTTGTATTCATTTACAGTATGTGGTCATATGTGAGCCGTGTCACGACAAATCCAACATAGTGCGTTTGCGACCAGCATGGATCCAGCCAGCCTGCGCATCCGCGCAGTCTGATCAGAATCCATGCTGTTCGCTATCAGTTTCTCTACTTGTAATAGGGTTAGTAAGCAAACAGCATGGATCCTGATCAGACTGCGCGGATGCGCAGGCTGGCCTGGATCCATGCTGGTGGCAAACCCATTATGTTGGTTTTGTTGTGACACAGCTCATATATTTATATACTGGTACAGTCTGATATAGAGTGGTTAGACCAATGCTAGTTTACAAAATCTTAACAAACGTGATGAAAAAACAATAATTGATTAATACCTTATGAAAGTAAATCTTTTTGTAGCATTGTGTCACCTTTTCTGCTATTATAACACATCAAAATGTACAACAGCTACATAGGGAGTATGCAAATTCTTGCCAGGAACATGATATATGTCATATGACTATTTCTTAAGTTTAACAAACCATAAAACTTTAGATGAAAAAATAATAAACTAAAAGTAAATTGTTTTTTTAAGTGCTATACTTTTATATAGTAAGATATTCTTCTATATATTATGTCTATACTCTAAGCATTTGTATACACTGAGCATTGATTGGACCACTCTATACCTTAGATAAATGTGTCCTAGTATCATACTGTATATGTGTCAGTAAATTTAATTTTCTGAAATTGAATTTATTAATTGCAACAATAAATATAACAAACTTTTCATAGTTTTGCAGGTTTTCTCTTTCATGCACTTCAAGCATTGAACAAAATATTGCTCTAACTAATGCCTTTTAAAGTCATTGATGTTCAACTGATTTAAAAAGCATTAAACAATAAACATTGTGATGTATACACATATGATAAAAAAAGTCTAAATTCTTCACTTAAATATTCAAGTGCAGATAAAGAAGGTAATAAAGGCACAATTTCAATCTCCAATTAATTTTGTAGAAAAAATGCTTTATATTTTTCATGTAGCTTAAGCAGCCTTAAGACGTTACGAAGGTAACAGTGTTGTGTTATAGATCTATAAACAGTAGAAAATAGTAGCACTTTAGTATTGTTACATGATGTGACTGTTTTAAAGGGGCACACCTTCTGATTTATGTCCAATGAACAATATGTGGAAAAAAGTTATATTTGAAAATAAAAAGAGTGAAAATGAAATATTTTGATGTGTTCAAAATAGACATGAGAAATGCTCAAAATCTCAGTAAAACTTTTGACCAAAAAATAAACCCAAAAGCTCTAGTCGAATCATAAAAGATTGACATTATAAAAATCCAGATCTTGTTGTTTTTTATATTTGAATATATTTTTTATACTTTTATCTTTGACACTCAATAGTATTAAAATTTCATTATTATAAAAATGTTGCTCAATGTTTTATAAGCATTAAAACTTCACTTTAATTTGAAGGCATGCCCCTTTAAAGTTGTAGCAAAGTTTGGCATTCTAGCAAAAATTTTCTGCTTTTGTCTTCAAAAATGTACTTATGTAATATTTGTATGAGCTATGAGACTTATAATAAAACACAGAGAACAAGTCTGTAAATACTGTCCTGCTATTGGACAATTTTATGTCATATTTGTCTGAATAAACCAATCAGATGTTTGATTATAAGACTGGCCTGCGTTTCATGGAGAGTCCTAAGTTAATCCTAAATCCTAGGACTTATGACCAACTTTAGGAGAAAAAGTTTTTGCACTTAGGACCGTTTCAAGTAACTGTCCTATCTTTTGTCTTAAACTTAAGACTTATGACCAATTCGCTCTCCTGAAAAAAGTTACAAAATACAATGGCACGCGCATAATCCCGGATTGGATTTACTATGTAATTGATTATAGCAAGTATAAAAAGTAATGTATTGCCCTCTTATCATGTTGAGTGAAAATATATACCATATAACCGTTTTATTTAATTTCATTGTAAAAAAATGGTAGCGAACCCCCTTGCTTGCTACGCAACTGCAATTGTACAGCGCGCAGTAATATTATTTAAGAAATAACATCGGCCTGAGAGGTGTATATCGGCTATTTAACACCGGTTTGTAGTTTTGATGCGTAGGAATTGACCACGAAGGCCGTAGGCCTGAGTGGTTAATTTTGTCGCATCAAAACGACAAAACCGGTGTTAAATAGCCGATATACACCTCTCCGGCTGATGTTATTTCGATTCTAACACGATAAAATAAGGAAAATCACTAAACTTATTTTACAAGCGGAAATAACTTCCGGTGCCGATTTTCGTATTACGCTATTCGATTTTCGCACCCTACTGTTGCGAAGATATAGAAATTATCAAACAAAAGAAATAATAAGAAAAAAAAAACACGTTATTTTATCAAGTTTTCAACAATAAAAACTTACGTCGTATCGTGTATACATCAGTGTCCCATTTATCATTCTTGTATGTATGAAATAACGTCAGCTTGTTTATGAATGAGTTGTTTACTTAGGATGACGTCATTTACGCTGCTTAAGGATTGGCGCCGTTCTGTCAAAGTATTTATTAACTGATAAGGATCTAATATGTGGCGTTAGTGTATGTGAGATATTATTTCGATATTGTATGAAAAGAAAACATTATAAGAACTGAAAATATAAATAAAAATGCTTTTTATTGTTGCTTTAAAATGCTTTGTAAACTATACAATCGAGGGTGAAAACATAACAGCGCATATACAAGTAGTCCCTAACCGGTGTTTATTGTCAGTTTAACACCAGTTTTTTTCCTTCTTTTGTCTATAGTGACAAAATCACGTGAGTGTTAGAATATAAAATTTATAGATGCGTCTTGTTTTGCACGCGATATTTGGCGCTACATTGTGACGTCATTTAAACAACTCTTTTAAACGTTTGTACAGCGTTAATAACTGAATTAAAGATATTGGTGTTCGGATTTATTTTCTTAGTTAGACCATTATCTATCATTCTAGATAGTTTTCAAAACAAAATTCAACAAAAAGTTGTTTGATTTTGGAGTGGTTTTGACTTAGGACAATCTTAAGATACCTTTAAAACACTCCTAGACTTAGGACTGTTTTTGGTCATAACTTTAGGAGTCATAAGTTAGGACCTTTTTTAAGACTTTCTTTGAAACGCAAAATTGTCACAATTTTTTAACTTAAGACAAACTTAAGACTTAGGACTCTCCATGAAACGCAGCCCTGGTTTTCAGTCTAAAGTTTTATAACCAATGGCTGACACAGTTTTTGTTATTTTCATGCATTTCTTGAAGACTTTAAAGAGATTGACTTAAATTAAAAAAAAAACTTCTTTATAAAGTAATTGTTTTTCGCAAAAATTCTCTCTTTTCATAAATTTTATATAAAGTAAGTAGACTGTGTGTCTGCTGTATTATATTTATAATACATGTACCCTTTTCCAAATAGCTAGTGAAAAAATAACAATTCATGTTTCTAAAACAAATAAAATCTGGTAATAAAATTGGTATCATTTCCATTTTTTTTTCATTAGTTTTTGTGATAAAATAAATTGAGTATATTTAATAAAATCTATTCTTTGAACAGTGTTTTTATTTTATTCACATTCTGTGTACAAAGTTAACGTGATATTGATGAGAGACCTATATAAATAGTTTGATTGAAAGAAAAAAATATATTTCAATCTAAGACTTTCTAATATAAGATATATTTCCAAATTCTTTTGCTTTGTCACATCTCTTTCTGCTTATTATGTATGCATTGTTCTCTCATATATACATGTTTATTTTACAGACAATTTTTAGCTTATACGCATCATTCATGTGAAAAAGTTGGCACTAAGTTTCTTGTTTATACTAAGAATTCAGGAACACTGGGAAGGTGTAATAGTGTAAATTGATGTCATATTTCAGTGTGGAAAAATGGCATTTGTTTATTTTTGATATTTATTGGCACTTAGATTGACTTTGATTGCTGCAATTCTTTTTTTGTTTGGTGTGAGGTCCTTTTGAATATTTTGTTTTCCTTTAGAAACAACAAAAAATTCTGATACCCACTTAGAGCTATTGAAATGAGAGTTTTTGCAATATGATTAAAATATAATTGAGCGACTTAGTGGTGATCCATTATGGATTTTGACATGTGTATAGGTAATATAAACATGTGACAGGAGGCATTTGTCAGTTTAATGAAGTAATTAATAAGTATTTCTTCAATACAGTCTACCTTTTATATATAATGAAGACACTTATTATTAACTATTTGTGATATGCTCTCTATTACATGAGGTAAATATGATATTATATTCCTCTACAAAGGAGATAATGTAATGCTTTGAAATGAGAAAAAAACTGATGTGTTCTTAATGAAAAGAAATAGATATCAAGTTTTGACATTCAGTAAATATAGTTATACAATATAAGTATGAAATTTTTTCAACAAGGTAAGCAAGATAGTTTAATATTCTTCTTTAAAGAGCTTTATACACAATGGTATTATCTTTCAGCAAAAATAGAGAGACATTTCAATCTTGTATTTGTATGTGGCAAAAATGAAAAATGGTGTTATATTGACATTTAATCTATTCATTAGTTATTTACTTTATGGCCATCCTGAATTTATGTAATGAATTCTCATCATTTCTGTGATGTCAGAACTGTCCAGTTGAGTTTTAAGAATTTTATATAATGCCCAAACATAGGTCAAGGTAACACAATCACTGCTTGCTAACACTAAGAGTTATTTTACTTTTTGTTTCATATGTTGGTAAATAACATTCATTCTTCCCAGTGAATAATATTTGTTCACTAATAAATGACTATATGTTTTTTTAATATTTTTTCAGTAAGGGAGATAAGTATGAAGGTGACTGGGAGAGTGACATGAGACATGGTGTTGGTGATATGAGATATGTGGATGGAACTGTTTATGAGGTATATTATATAAAACATTAGGTCCTTCAACCATTTAATCTGCTGGATTCCTTAACCCATTACTTCATATACACGCCTTTTAACGCCTTTTTCACCCCCCCCCCCCTTTTTTGTTGTCTCAAATGATGAAAAAATGCCTTATTTAGGCCCCAAACACTTGGTTTTGTTTGAGAAATGTTGTTAAAAAAAGTGACCTCTTTTTCGGCGCGGCCCCCCAACCAAAAGATACATCAGGGGGTTGCCAGAAGGGGGATGTGCCCCCTTCTGTTTGGGGGGTTTGAAGGGGGGCGGAGTCCCCCTCATCGCCAAGAAAATTTTGGGCTTGTGAGAGGCTGTAAATGACCCCAGATTGATCATAAGGTAACGTGTAAGCAACGCTGAAAAGCATTTGACTCTATCTCAATCCATTGAGAAGTTGCAGCACTTTGAAATCAATTTTGATGGAAAAAATCAACGCAAAATAGTGATTTTTGGCAATTTTGAGATGTCCCCTCGTTGCCATGGTAACAGAAATTTAAGCCTGAGCATGTTGTTGCAAGGGCAATGGTCCAGTCAACATTTGTGCCAAGTTTGATTAGTGTTGAAGCAGTTTTTATAGTATTATAGCAATTTGAACTTGTAACGGGAGACTTTTCAATGAAAACAGCCATTTTTCACAAAATGCTCATGAAGCAATGGGTTAATGAAAAAAATAAAAAAATCTACAAAACAACAATTTTTCATCAAATTTATATGACAGGCCATGTTTAAACATGAAAAAACGCGATTTAGGGTAATTTCAAGTATTTTCATCATTTTCTGTTAACCCATTACTTCATATACACGCCTTTTAACGCCTTTTTCACCCCCCCCCTTTTTGTTGTCTCAAATGATGAAAAAATGCCTTATTTAGGCCCCAAACACTTGGTTTTGTTTGAGAAATGTTGTTAAAAAAAGTGACCTCTTTTTCGGCGCGGCCCCCCAACCAAAAGATACATCAGGGGGTTGCCAGAAGGGGGATGTGCCCCCTTCTGTTTGGGGGGTTTGAAGGGGGGCGGAGTCCCCCTCATCGCCAAGAAAATTTTGGGCTTGTGAGAGGCTGTAAATGACCCCAGATTGATCATAAGGTAACGTGTAAGCAACGCTGAAAAGCGTTTGACTCTATCTCAATCCATTGAGAAGTTGCAGCACTTTGAAATCAATTTTGATGGAAAAAATCAACGCAAAATAGTGATTTTTGGCAATTTTGAGATGTCCCCTCGTTGCCATGGTAACAGAAAATTTAAGCCTGAGCATGTTGTTGCAAGGGCAATGGTCCAGTCAACATTTGTGCCAAGTTTGATTAGTGTTGAAGCAGTTTTTATAGTATTATAGCAATTTGAACTTGTAACGGGAGACTTTTCAATGAAAACAGCCATTTTTCACAAAATGCTCATGAAGCAATGGGTTAATGAAAAAAATAAAAAAATCTACAAAACATCAATTTTTCTTCAAATTTATATGACAGGCCATGTGTAAACATGAAAAAACGCGATTTAGGGTAATTTCAAGTATTTTCATCATTTTCTGTTAACCCATTACTTCATATACACGCCTTTTAACGCCTTTTTCACCCCCCCCTTTTTTGTTGTCTCAAATGATGAAAAAATGCCTTATTTAGGCCCCAAACACTTGTTTTTGTTTGAGAAATGTTGTTAAAAAAAGTGACCTCTTTTTCGGCGCGGCCCCCCAACCAAAAGATACATCAGGGGGTTGCCAGAAGGGGGATGTACCCCCTTCTGTTTGGGGGGTTTGAAGGGGGGCGGAGTCCCCCTCATCGCCAAGAAAATTTTGGACTTGTGACAGGCTGTAAATGACCCCAGATTGATCATAAGGTAACGTGTAACCAACGCTGAAAAGCATTTGACTCTATGTCAATCCATTGAGAAGTTGCAGCACTTTGAAATCAATTTTGATGGAAAAAATCAACGCAAAATAGTGATTTTTGGCAATTTTGAGATGTCCCCTCGTTGCCATGGTAACAGAAAATTTAAGCCTGAGCATGTTGTTGCAAGGGCAATTGTCCAGTCAACATTTGTGCCAAGTTTGATTAGTGTTGAAGCAGTTTTTATAGTATTATAGCAATTTGAACTTGTAACGGGAGACTTTTCAATGAAAACAGCCATTTTTCACAAAATGCTCATGAAGCAATGGGTTAAATGGACTTGTCCAAATTCACGTTTTGGAAATGATATATATAACAAAATGAAAATTTGAAGTTGTATGGTCAGCCAACAGTATAGAGATTGGTCAGACTGCATGATGTACAGGTTCGTCCTGCTGCTAATCACTGATCACTTTTGGTTCCAGCAGGTTAAGTGTTAAATCTAGAAATTTTAAAACCATTAAATTTATATTTATCCAGCTAGGCTTCTTTTGTGTCTATTTGAATTTATATATACTTGCCATCGGTTGCCCATATGGGCGAGTCCTCAAGAAGAGTTTTAGTCATTTTATATTTTGGAGGACAGTGCAATATACAGAAAGATGTCCCAATACCAGAAGCTTCTGGTTCTTTAGCATGTCATGTGTTTTAAGCACTCATACACAGGACCTCCATTTAAAGTCTCATCCCAAAGACTGATTAGAAAAGGAATCAAACCCACTATGTCATGATTAAAAATCTCGCGCTCTTACCAATTGAGCTATGTAGGCTGGCTAGGTTTCTTAAGGCAGGTAGTTCTATATAGATGCCCACTTGTGCCTGAAATAATACATAAAGTGTTTAAAAAAAGATAAGGCAATTATAAAAGAAAATGTTTATAATCTGATGGACTTGTAACTGCTTCCTCTGTAGTATAAAGCCAATGCTTAACATTGCAAATAAGGTTATTTATTGAATTTACAAACAAGTATTCCAGATAAGTTCTCATAAAGTATTTGGAAATTACAGATGTTGTATCATGAAATTCATATGCACGTGATAATGTATGCATAAATGATAGCATAATAAAACTATACAATGAACAGTAAGTATTTCCATTGAAGAGATAACTATTTGTATAGATATGTTTTTATACAGGGCGAGTTTGAAGATGACAATTTTAATGGTGAAGGTACTATGAGGCATTGCTCTGGCCTCGTGTACAATGGCTGCTGGGTCAATGGAAGTCCAACTGTTTTACCAACAAAACTAGTCATTGTAAATTCTACTGGGAAAGAACCGGTAGAAATCATACTCGGACAACCATTTGATATCCATGTGAAATGTGTAACAGAGAGTGGAGAAGTTGTTGAAGGTAACAAAAACAAAAAGGAAAAGATTTTATGATATGTCATTACTTTTTGTGTATGCCCCTTTGAGATATCTTTGAATATTTGGTTCTTCAGAATTCAATGCAAATGTTTTTAAGTTTGAAAATATATCAAGGATCAATCTGATTATTTGATTTTTGAGAATCTGATTGTCAATTTTATACACCCTTAATATAAAGGTATGGGCATATTTATTTATGATTCTGGTTGATAATAGATTATAAGCTTGTCTGCTCTGAAGAAAAAGTCACCTTTTATAATTGTTGAGTCACCATTTTTGTCATGCAAAAACTTTCATGTAGACTATTTCTCAAACACTTAAAGGTATCAGCATTGTTCTTGCATAACTTTCTTATCATGATAAGGCTCAATTGTAAGACAGTAGGCATTATTCTAAAAGTTATATTTTTCCAGTAATGCCCCTTCTTTACTTAAAATTTTTGGCAAAAATTATTGAATTTCATTAAGGAGAGGGATTTCAAAACTATTAACAGTATCAACATGAAACTTTGATTTCTTGCTTATTATAACAAGACACAATTGTTAGACATGTGGTACCCTTCTGAAAAATTAAATATTTGTCAAAATTTATTATTTAGCACAACGATATGAAAACTATCAAAGGTTTTCACACAGAATTTGTAATGCTGAATAAAACTATGTGCATTGTAAGACAATCTGCTAATTGTAAAATACAATATTTTAAGAATTATGCCTTTTTTTCAATGGGAATATTTGTAAAAATTGACAACTGATAGAAAATTTTGAAAACTGTCATTCTTGGTATACTTGTTTTTGGGGACAAGGTACATTTGTAGGACGAGGGGAATGACTGAATGATCAGTATTATGTAGAGTAATCCCACTTTATCATATTGAAAATAAACTTTTGTATCGTTTCCAATATTTTGAACATTCACAATCTCAAATAATCAATTTTATGGTATGTGTGCTGTTTTTTCTAAACAAAGTTGATATTTAAGTCAGTTTCTAGGGAATGTGTTTCATCATGTGTCTTTGATATTAATGCATCATCAGGAGGTGTTCCATATATTTTAGTTTACATATATTATAGTTGACAGTCGGAGAGAGTTACGCATCACTGCAGGATTTAAACATATCAAAGCAAAGAAAGGCACAGCATTGTTTGATCTAATAGAGGAATATGAGGAGAAGCCAATGACTACACCATAGTAAGTTTTACTATCAGGTTATACAGCCAGGTTTAACTACCATGTTTTACTACCAGGTAACGTTACCAGATTTTGCTATGAGGTTATACCACCAAGTTATACTACCAGTTTGTACTACAGCTCATACCACCAAGTTATACTACCAGGTTATACTACCAGTTCATACCAACAGGTTTTACTACCAGGTTTTACTACCAGTTCATACCAACAGGTTTTACTACCAGGTTTTACTACCCGGTTTTACTATCAGATTTTACTACCAGGTTATACTACCAAGTTATACTACCAGGTTTTACTATCAGATTTTACTACCAGTTTATACTACCAGGTTTTAAAATGTACTTACAATGAATAAGTGTTTTATGACAGAATTTTTCATGTAGGAATTGTGATCCGTCTCATTTAAAAAAAAAATCTGGTTCTTTTAGATCATTTGTTCAATTTCTTTGTACAATGTTGTAGTAAATTTTCGTGTTTGTATGGCTTGTTTATTAATTTTGTAGATATTTCAAAAGTTCTTAAGCAGGTGTTACTGGCTGCAAGTGGTTTTGATAACTTCAGGAATGCTTAATAAATTAAGAATATTTGTTTATTTTATGCATATAATAAATGGAACAGATTTGAATATAAATCTCATGTATGTATATTTTATATTTCAGTTACGAAGTGCTACAATACCCACTGACAGATTTTATTATAGAGGAGGATGAACCTGATGAAGATGAGCCCGAGGAACTCAGGGAAGAGAATGAAGATGTCATTGATGATGTAAATAAATTAGGTGAGAAAATTATTTGTGTAACCAAGATTCGTTTTTCTGATCCTAGAAATGAAATATACAATGTTATGTACTGCATCAATGTTTTTTATTTTCCGTACAAGTAGGTGGCAGTATATATTCTTTTTATTACTTTGACAAACATGTTGTCCCTCAACAATTACTGGAAAACATTCAATTTTGAAAATCCTGGTTATTTGGTTATTATTCCTTTTTAGCTCGACTTTTCTATGAAAAGGGGAGCTATCCTACTCGCCCCGGCGTCGGCGTCGGCGTTAGCGTTGGCGTCACACCTTGGTTAAGTTTTTCGTACCACCCCACTTTATTTCAGAAGTATTACAAGTATGGCTTTGAAACTTACCATACTTGTTCACCATCATAACCTCCATCTACAGACAAGAGTACATAACTCTGTCAAGGTTTTTGACAGAATTATGGCCCTTTTTTGACTTAGAAAGTGTATTGAGCTTGGTTAAGTTTTTTGTACCACCTCACTTTATTTCAAAACCATTGGAGGTATTGCTTTGAAACTGACCATACTTGTTTACCATCACGACCTTCATCAACAGACAAGAGGACATAACTCTGTCAAGGTTTTTGACAGAATTATGCCCTTTTTGACTTAGAAAATACATTGAATATGGGTAAAATCCACTTATTGCCTTAACCCTTTGAGATATTGCTTTGAAACTTTTAATGCTATTTCACATCATTACCCCCATCTGTACGCAAGAGAAGGTAACTCTGTCAAGGATTTGTTTTAAAAATTAAGGCCTTTTATCGACTTAGAATCTTGGTTAAGTTTTTAGTACCAGTCCACTTTTTGACTGAACTGTTTGAGATATTAATTTGAAAGTTGGAATACTTGTTTACAATCATGATTCCCAAACATGTCCAGGAGAAGGTAATTCTGTCAAAGATTTTATTTGAATTATGGCCCTTAACTGTCAATGTTTTGTATTATAGGCAAGCACTAAAAAACTTAAAAAATCTAAAAAAATTCATTCCTATCCACTTGTTCACTTTACCATAAATTATGTCATATAAACATTGCTGTAATATTCAAGGGTATCAAACAACTAGTTATTTTTCTCTTTTTGTACTTGAAATTAAAATCAGTAGTATATGCATATTTCACATTTTATCTCGCCTATTTGATTGGTGGACAAGTTACACAATTCAGTAAAATAATTCTTCACTAAATATCTTAATGCTCATGGCCATTGTTCACTTTAAAAATACAGAGATTCTTGTATTGCCTTTTACTGCAAAAACTTTTTTTATTGGCAAGCAATAAAAAAGTCGAGCGCGCTGTCTTACGGACAGCTCTTGTTTTGTACTGGAAAAGGATTTTTTTTAGTATTTTATCATATATGTGTAGACTGATATGATCTTTTAAGCTTTTTTTATAAGTATGGCAAATTATAAGTTTTTATTTTATTTTCAATTATTTATTTATATTTTTTTTTTATTTCCTGCTCCTCTTAGTGTAGATATAAAATCTAATTGAGGAATATAAGGAGAATCCTTTGAGTTATAATACCAAGCTTATTACAATGTATATATGATATAACACATAATTTAATTACCTCTGTGGCATACTGCTATACATTTATTTTCAGAATTTAATATTTCTCGTAGACCAACCCTTGTCAGTATGAATAGTTCATTAAGCTTGATAAGTGCAAGTATGTTCCGTTGTGAATCAAACAATCACATACAATTTATGTTACCACTGTTATTTTATAACTCCCTTTCACAGCAGAATGTTTATAATTTCTTACTACCAGCCTTCACCATCTAACTTTCCCATCCCCTTAATTTAATTCACATCCTTGTTATTGTTTGATTTGATGTAAAAAAAAATCAAACCACATACATTTTCCCCTTAATTTAATTCACATCCTTGTTATTGTTTGATTTGATGTAAAAAAAAATCAAACCACATACATGTACCTCATTAAGGTATGTTGTTGATTTTACTTTGGATCTCACTTTTGCATGATATTTGGAGACCTTATATCTTCCATACAAGCATAATTTGAAAGCTGCTTATTAGTATCACATTTTAGGAAGTCCCAATTAATCTTTTGCCTTTGTTACAATTAATTATGTCATAGCTCAAAATATATCAAGTTTTGATAATCATATGTTCAGTTTCCTGATTGTAATAAACTGCATAATAACTCAATTTTTATCAAGGTGTCATTTTTGAATTATCAATTTTTTTTCTTGAACTATACTCATAGACTTGATTTATAAGTAATTGATTTTAAGTCAGTATATTATGTTGATATACTGGGTAAGGAAATCAATAGATATATGTACATGTAGAAAATTTACTAATGCAATGAAGTCAGTAATCATGTCTGTAACTGATTGATTAAACATTCATTGTAGGGTGCCCCTTAATTGATTCATTAAGCATCTTTTATGAAAAGTTAAAATAGATATGTATGGAGAATATATTGTGAGGAAAAACTCATTAGAAATTTCATTGATTTTTATTATTTACATGATTAAAGCTGAAGAAAATGGTGAGAATGCTATAACAGAACAGTTGGAGGAGGGCAAGGAAGAAACTGGTAAAGAAAGTGTCATGTCAGAGACCGCACAGACAGAACAAAGATTAGAAAGTGCCTTAGAGAGACAAACAAGTATACCAGAAACACCCATGTCTGGTCTTACATCAGGTCAGTGCTTTTTGTAACACTCATGTCTGGTCTTACATCAGGTCAGTGCTTATTGTAACACCCATGTTTGGTCTTACATCAGGTCAGTACTTATTGTTTCACCAGTGTCTGGTCTAACATCAGGTCAGTGCTTATTGTTTCACTCATTTCTGGTCTTACATCAGGTCAGTGCTTATTGTAACACCCATGTCTGGTCTTACATCAGGTCAGTGCTTATTGTAACACCCATGTCTGGTCTTACATCAGGTCAGTGCTTATTGTAACACCCATGTCTGGTCTTACATCAGGCCTGTGCTCATTGTAACACCTATGTCTGGTCTAACATCAGGTCAGTGCTTATTGTTTCACCCATTTCTGGTCTTACATCAGGTCAGTGCTTATTGTAACACCCATGTCTAGTCTTACATCAGGTCAGTGCTTATTGTAACACCCATGTCTGGTCTAACATCAGGCCTGTGCTCATTGTAACAGTATAAACTCATTAGAGAAGAATAAGGACTTGCCTATGTTATCTGTTAGAGTCTTTCCCATCAAATAGATCCAGTCTTTATACTGTTGACTGCTGAATTTAAGCATCTTGACATTTTCAAAAAGTTACTCATAGACCAATTACCTGAACAATCTTTTTCTTTTCTTGCTGTTTGGTAATGCATAAGATTATAGTGATTTATTATTTTGTGTGGAAGTCAAAATACTTCTTTGTTTACATTTTGCTACTTTTATGACACATTATTTTACATTCATTGCTACTTTCTTCAGGTAACACGTATCTTACATGCTCTAAAACCATTATTTAATTGTTATAAAATTCATATTTGCTCTTTTTAAAGAAGTAAAACATTATTCATTTCTGAAGGATAATGTGCCTTTAACTATGTCATTTGTAATGTAGGGAACTTTTTTCAAGGGTAATGTGCTGTAAATCATTGTCAGATATAGATTTAAGATTTTTAACCTTTTTAGAGGAATGCTTAACATAGAATTTTATATTTTCTTTTGATAAACTTTTCAAATTTTCTTTTCAGTTACTCCAGCTTCAATGCTTGAAAGCTCATTATTAGAGAAAGATTCACGCCCATTACCACCACCTGTGTCCAATAAACGCTCAGAAAAGGGTGAATGTGAGTGGAAAAACATTCAGCTTGCTCAAGCCCCTCCCAGGTTCCCGCCTTTTGTTGCTCTTGATGAAGAGGAAAGGAAACTTAGGGCTCGTCAAAATAAACAAGGTGGGATCACAGTTCATTACTTGCATATTTAATTGTTTAACTATCAGTTAAGTTTTCATTGAAGTAAATTTTTCTGTTTTCATTACTTTCCAATTTTATATTTGTATTATTTGTTTTGTTTTTTCTACATTAGTAAAGCACATGTGTTCATTTTAAATAACGCATTCATTTTTAAAAGAAAAAATAATGAAATTGCATTTCTAGTATTTATTTAAATACTTAAAGCCAACAGTTGAGACTCAAGAGGTAATGATAAAGTAATAGTTCAGGACATTTCAAAAGTTCAAACACTGGACAAGGCATGCATTCAAACCATGGACAGGTCCGGATTTCAAACCATTTGCAGGACTTAAGTCCAAACTTTTAGCAGGTCCCAAAGTTATACCCATAAGATAGTCACCAGTTTAAAGTCTGGGTATGTTGTGAGTTGAAACTCAGAAAAGATCAGTATTTAAAACCAGGGTAGGTTGCATGTTTAAACCTGGACAGACAACAATTTCAAACCTTTGACAGTTAAAAAATTCAAAGGAAGGTCATGATTTTAAATCTCAGGGATATGTTGAAAACTCAAACCTTGGTAAGGTTGCCTGTGCAAAACTAAGGCAAATCATGACTTCAATTAGTTCAAATCAGCAGAAGTCTGTAAGAAATCAGTTAGTACTGATACCAAATTACATAAACATTTCTTGTATACACACCAGCACTAAATTCTTGAGTGTTGGCTTGTTACTCTAATCAGTGAATTATAATTATATTTTCTTAATGAATAAACTTAAAAGACAGATGTTATTTATAGCAAACATATATCATATTTTCCTTTTTTAAACTTAACATTGATTTTATTTATTTTTTTATTAATAATTCAACATTTGTTTTCGTTATACATTTCACTTCAGATCAAGGTAGTGTTTTTTTTTATTTAGTTTAAAAAAGTGTCTTTCTCACAGAATTGTTAACATTTGTAAGCATGCCTTTGGCAGTGGGGTGTTTGTTATATTAGAATAATTTATTAAATCACAGTTATTTCCCTTCATTAATATAGTTTTGAGTACTATTTTTTTTCTTCTTAAAATTGCTACTACATGTGAGACAGGCACTTTCAGTATATTTATTTTATGTATTTCTGCACACAACTTATGTGTACTGGCATGCGAGCAGTTCCCGTACAGAAGCAGTACCCGTATTTTTCATTTAAACGCTTGATTTTTACTTGCATTCTTCAAAAATTCATTTCAAATTAAGCAGATACATAAACAAGACAAAATCTAAGTGTCAGTTCGGTAGTACGTATAAAAAGTCTCATTTTAAATCACTTTCACCTGTGCGTCGTCAAAACGTGACCTTGTTTTCTCTGGGGGATTCCGTCCTTGCGCGCATGCGCAAAAATACTTACACGTGAGGCTTGTTAAAGGGTTTTCCACTAATACCACCTGTTTACAGATAAGTAGGCAATGTGATGAAAACTTGTTTAATTATCAGAATTTTGACCAATATTACTATATAAAATAATTTTATGGCTTTGATGCGTAAAATATCATGCATACAAGCATGCTATTGCATGTGAATGCGTTGGGGTAATGGTACCGGTATAATAGATACCCGCGTTTAGTCTACGCTCTATTTCCTGAATTACATCCATTTATCTCTTAGATAATGGTCTGTTCAACAATTGTAAATGAAAAATAGGTCCGATATAATAAAATTATATAATTACAATGGGTTAGATTTTATGTACGGGAACTACTTCTCTTCATACAAAATAATGGATAATTTCGGTACCCCATTTGAGGCCTCATAAGTAAGGGTTATTCTATGTTTAGAACATGATGGAATTTCCATGATTTGTGTTACGAGCCGAATATTGATGTGTAACATTTAAATTTTGGTGAGTGATCGTAATAAAAAATAATGTTTAAGTAACTATGATTTTTGTACGGGAACTGCTCGCATGCCAGTAATATGCAATTTTTAATTTATTTTAGATGTTATTATGCTTACTTAAAATAAACACATAATAACTATATTAATAAGATTTAAAATATCTTTATAATTCTCAGACTATCAGTATTTGTCTTTAGTGAAACATAATACAATAAACTTTTTACTGTAAACTTAAACTAAACTTCAGGTATATCACATCACTTATTGAAAAGATATCACTTACCACCACTTAGTAAATTAGGGGCTTTAAATATAAGCTTAATACTGCTCTTCTCTGCTAATAATAACTTACAAAAGCTTATTGTGAGGTTACAATCAAATAACATCACATCATAATGTAGTATGATGGTTATTTAAGCTTCATATCATAATGTTAAGTTAATCTACAGGGAGTTTTTATTTTCACATTAATACATTTTGTTCTTTATTTTCAATTTTGAATCAATGCTAGTTACTTTGTTCAAGTAATACATTCATCATAATTTGAGGCCATGGTCTTGTTACCTTGTTCCTGAATATAACCTGCTTAAATGAATAGGGAGAGCATCAAATTTGTACTTCAGGGGTCCATGATCTGACAAGGAAAATTTCTCTATGGCAAGTGATCCCAGACATTGTGTCTAATGGCCGTTGTCTCTTATGGCTGGTCAAGAAATCATATGAAATCAGTAGTTGGTCTTGCAAAGAAATTTGTATTAAATTATTAATGGTTAGATATCCAGGAAAGCCTTTTTGGAGTTCTGACCACTGAGATATGCCAAAAAATGTGTAAAAAATCAGATTGAAACCAAAACAGACAAACATGGTCCTGATCTGACACTTAAGCACTGATTAGTTCCAGGAACCAGAATTGAGAGAGGTGGTTTAAATAAGTTGTAAGCTAAAAATCAAGTTAATGTGTTTAATCTTTAACTTGCTGCCAGCTACTGAATCTGCCCATGCAACCGGTGTCAACCCAGCTGGCACATCCTTGTTGCCTGATCATGGTCAGTGCACTGTTTCACTATTCAGTCTGTGTTTGTTTTGAAATGTCCCCTAAAATTGAAGAAAAGTTTTGTTGTGATTAAGAGATGGACAAAGTCCATTTAAGGTATTAAGCAAGGTACTGTGAATTCACATAAATTCGAGGGCATGAAATTTCGTGGTTTTTGTCAAAAAGGACATTTTCGTGGGTTCTTAAATTCGTTGATTTTTATTTTCTTATAGTCCCCGTTATGTGTTTATGCAGAAGCAACATTTTTTCCCCGAAGTTTTAGAAAGCATTTTGAAGACATTTCATCAATGTTTCTGTCAAGTTTCTTAAATATTATATTATGTTAAATATTATAACCCTAAACTACTTATTTATGAAACCTGCATCTTACCTGATTATCTATATACCTTTGCAACACGATAATCGGCTGCAAGTTTGTTATATATAGACACGAGATTAGAAATAAAACATTGTAAGACCTATTTGTTAGTATTAAAGTTTGTTGGATCTTAAATTCGTGGATTGACCAACCCACGAAAACCACAAAAATTAGTGCCCCACGAATAATAATGATTTTGCAGTAAGTGTTTTAACTAAATTAAACCTTGTAAGTGCAAACTTTCCTTATCAACTAGATTTTTAATTAAGATCAATAATCTATCATTAAAATTACTTTTATACTACAACATTTCAGTCATATACTAATATAAAAATGACCACAAAATTCTTATTTATGCTTGATTGTCTGTATATTTGCTTACTTTGTCCTAATAATTTCTCAGATCATTTTCCACTTGTCATTATATGAGCCGTGCCTTGACAAAACCAACATAATGCGTTTGCGACCAGCATGGATCCAGACCAGCCTGCGCATCCGCGCAGTCTGATCAAGATCCATGCTGTTCGCTATCAGTTTCCCTACTTGTAATAGGGTTTGTAAGCGAACAGCATGGATCCTGATCAGACTGCGCGGATGCGCAGGCTGGTCTGGATCCATGCTGGTCGCAAACCCACTATGTTGGTTTTGTCATGACGCGGCTCATATATTTGTATATTGTATGTATATTTGTATACATTATTTCAGATGTAACAATAGGTTACAGGAAAAAAAGTGTTGCTGGCATGTGTATGTTGATTTATTTAAGGAATCAGATTTCCTTTTTTTATCAGTTTATCCTGTCCCACAAAATGGTCAGATATATTTTTATTGATACAATGAAAAGTTGATCCATAGATTTGAAATCAGTATCATCTGATCCATAGATTTTGAAATTATATCACTAAATGAACACTTTTATGTCTTCTATGAATTTTCCTACATCGTTATCTGAGACTTTTCATTGTATATATAATACTTTAAATGTATCTGACCAATTAAACAGAATTTTATGGGTAGGGGAGTTAATACTAAAATGTTATTGTTATAGCATGCAGACAAATGTTATCTCCCTTTAACAATAAAGGAAGTAATACAACTCTGGATTTTCTTTATCTATAGTGTTTTTTGTGTTAACTAGGTTGTTTGTGTTAAAAATCTTTTAAACTAGACTAAGACATCATATACAAAAATATTTTATATTTAAACTTTGAATTGAATTTTTTGTCTTATTTTCTTATTTATTAAACATAATCTGTAAATTTGTTTCAAAGCAAAAATGGAACTTTTAAGCTATTACATTCAAAGCAAACAGTTCTAAATACAAAATGGGACAAGTTCATAGTTCATCTTTACGATCATATAGGGAATCTGACGTTAATAAAATTTAGCGTCTGATATTGCAAGAAAAGTTCCGGTAGGAGAAAATAGTAAAAAATAATAATAATTTGTTCAACAAAAACTTTGAGAAATCCTACACTAATAGCATGCCACATACTGTTATATATGTATGTATATATCAGGAATAACTTAATTATAACTGTCATTCATGTATATACATATAAGTTCTCCCTTATTTCATTTTACTAACAGTAACATGCCATTTACTTTATAGAATTATATTTATGAAGCATTGATTTAAAACATATCATTAGCCTGAGGGGGCTTTTTCTAACTTTCATGTTCTAAATTTGTTTAGGAAGAAAAATAAATTGTTGTGCTTGACCACCAAAGCCAAATGATTAGATTGGAGTTTAGATAGCTTAAAGATTATTTAAAAACTGTTGTTTGGCTTTAAGGGGTATTTTGTTGCCAGTTTTTGGTAATTAAACTTCTTTTAGTTATGTGAAACAAAGAAGTGGATGTGAAATTTTAATGAAAGCCCTCTTGGAATAATATGTGTTTTGTTTTTTTATCACATGCTCATTAGTGAAGATGTTATAACTAATTTATGTTCAGTCGCGGAATAAAAAGTTCAGGGTCTTTTTTAGTTAATATGTTATCAATTTGTTAAACCATTCTTTCAGATGCTATGCGCATGAAAAGTCGTTACTCTATCGCTGGAATAAGTATGTCAAATATTTGTGGAGTTTTTTACTTGACCGTCGAGTGAATAACTATTCACGTAATTTACATATTTTGTCACATTCAACTGACTTTTCTTTTCAAAATTTTCTAACATTTTCCTTTTTATCTCAATAATTGATTTTGTTAAACACTCTTGTTTACAGATGCATTATGTAAATCAGTCGTTGGATTATGTATGTGGAACTGAATTCCTTCAAAATAATTTTTTCGTGTTATTAATTTAACATTGTCCCATATTATTTACACAACCAAAAATTTGTCCATTCCCTACATGTATAATAATCATTGTCCTTACTGACGGCACATTATTTAATTTCTTGAATTATTTTAGATATTGCAGGTTTGATGTGTTACATTATGATAAATAATGAATTTTCTGATGATAACAATGAAAGTATTTTATATCTGTGTCTATTGTGTATAAACACTTCAGTAGTCGAGCTCTGGTGAGCAATTACTCATTAATTATCATACAGGTATTGTTCAATCAACGGCATATAACTTTTTATCGTCGTAATTAATGAAACCAAACAATTTCTTACTGACCTCAAAAGAACAATTTGCTGATGTGAAATAATGTTACAGTACAATATGAAGACGTTACAGTACAATATGAAGTTATATTTCGTTGGCAGTTTATATTAAAACAGTAACTGTCATTGTAATGGTATTTTAGTGGCTGAAACTCGAGGATTTTACTAAACAAGTCACATGCCTTATTTAATCATTGTCTAGTAAAATCCTCTCCAGTCAAATCAAGCCTGCACTGTTACATTCCATTATTATATTACCTTCTGTTTAAATTTATAGAAAAAAAAAGTAGAAGTAATTCAGATTTAATTTGGCAATGTTACTTTATGTCATATATTGTAAATACATATATTTAACTATTCAGATACTTTAAGAAGATCCAGGTTTTCAGTGATAGGTTCTAGTAGGTTTTACTGCACAAATTTTGGACATACATGATTGAAGTGTTTTTGGGGATTTTTACTTGGCAATGTAATTTGTTTTACAATTTTGAAGTGTTTGAGTCAATTGCACTTGGGAAGAATTTAAAATCACATACATATAAATTTTAAACATAGTGAATTTTAAAATTGCACGACAGGCAGGTGATTTTGATGTTAAAGTGTTAGTTATAATGCATTTTTGCTGAATATTTTTAAAATGACATAATGACCATCCGAAGGTATAATTGTAAGTAAACAGGTGAAAGTCAAAATAAGTTTACATTTTGCCATAATTTCTTTGAATCGCATGAACAATAAATAAATCACATAGCCAAAGGAAATTTCTATAAATGTCCATCAGAATTTACCTGTAACGTTCAATTTATAAAAAAGAGTGGGGCAGTTTTTTTTATTTTATTTTAAGCAGATTTATTTTCTATCCTAAATATTTTTTAAATCACCATAAAAACAGTCAATCCTTTGAAAGATAAAGTTAATTCAGGTCAACTTGACTTAACCTCTATTTAAATAAAGGTGCTTTAAATTGCATCAGACTTAAATATTTTTCATCTGTTGTACTTATATTGAAAATAATTTTTGTGGATAAACTTCAATGCCGGGGGGAAACACCTTGGAGAATACGATGATTGTGAAGTTTCGTAGATCAATATTCTAAAAATACATATTTGTTTAGTTTTGTAATTCGCATGACACAGGCCATTAGAATTAAATGTTTGTTTTTTTGGGTTAATAATAAATTCAACCCAAACATGTATGTCGGGTGGGTTATAAGGTTATGGTTTATTAATTTGTAGGTATTCACTTAAATCTTACATTATATATATATATATATATATATATAGAGAGAGAGAGAGAGAGAGAGAGAGAGAGAGAGAGAGACAACAGTTGTTATGCATACATCAACAATTCTGATATCTGTACAGCTTTATGCGTAATTACAAAGAATAGAGATATATTATTAATATTAAATTTTCAGAAAGTGAAACAGAAACTACTGAAAGTTATGAGGGTAAATTATAGTAAAATAAATGTCTAACTTATGTTTCGTATATCATTGTCATGATTTTAATACTTTATTGTTTAATAATTTTCATTATATATTTTACTGGTAAATGCACAAAAAAGTACAATTTGCATTAACACGGGTGAAAATGTAACTTTGTTCAGTGCACACATTTTTATATATTTTTAAAAGGTTTGTTATTAGCGGGAAATGTGAAATTTATAACACCTTGTCCAATATAATATCATATGTGTTATATGAGTTTTAGAACATTAATATTTTCATTTCATATCTTATTTTTTTTTTCATTTGAAAACTTGTGTCACATTATTTCAAAGAAATTTTATTTGCCTATTTATTAATGCATACAATAAGCGCTTTGCACTTATAGGCAAAGAATTTTGCTTCCCAGATGAACAATCTTTTGTTATTTCAGCACATTTTATGTTTCCTTTAATGTGTCAAAATTATGGTATTCAGCCACAACCTTGATAACTTACATTTCAAGTGATTCTTTACTATTTATATAATGTATTATTGTTCTTAAGTATTCAAAGAATTGGAAATACATTAAGGACGTTTTTGGGAGTGTTCATAGACATATTAGGCAAAATTAAAACTGTTCTATAGAATTTCTTTAAACTTGGCATGTTGTTAGAAATATGATAACAGAACCATTTTAAGTGAAAAAAAATATTTGGGGTCACTATTCTCGTTTTTGACTTATCACATATATGCATATATGTCTACATGAAAACTCCGAAAAACGCCCTTAATGTATATCTATTAAAGGTTAAGGTCACTAATTTGAAGGTAGATCTCCATGGTGATTGTAGAAAAATGTTGGTGGTCTTGGAGACGGGAAATATTTTTATACAACTTTTGTTAATAACTCGGTGTCATTGAGTAACAGCACCATATAGTAATTAGCACCAATTGTTATTAAATGTTAAAAGTTTTATTATATAAAGCATTTTTGAAATTTTCATTTTAAAGGTACAATTATAAGATACCTAATTTTGCTGTAAAAATTGAAAAGAGCATTATCTTAAAATGTGTCCTAGGTGTCAGAAAGTCTATTTAGAAGAGATTATATCTTTGATGACACAATTGAGAATACTGATTTTCCTTGAAATATTAAACTTCCTGTTTCAGATTTTGACAATACTTTTTTAATTGATGTTTTCAGTGGAGGCAAAGAGGTTGAACCGTGTATCACATGATGAGAGGTACGCGAGGATCGGTGAGTATTAGCTGAACACTTGTTACAGTTACTCCTTATAACATTGTCATAGTCCTTTAAAAACATTCCTGTTTAAGTAATACATATTTCCTCAAGGTTATATCAATGAATATTAAACAAATTGAAATAAGCAGGCTTCTAAGTTTACACCTGGAATTATGGGTTTAGTTTTAGTATTTGGACTTGTCAGTCAGATGTGTCAGTAAAGTGTGACAGTGTGTGATATTATAATGATGTGATATTCCAGTGAAGCAGTTCCTAGCAATGATAAATCAACTTGGAGCTATATGTTATCATGCTTCCCCTTGGCCACAAAGGTCATAGAAAATGTCCTAGAGTGAAAAAATATAATGCAGCTTAACTGGGACTGAAATATTTGAGGACCCTCTGAACACTGTACAGCACCAGTGCTGACTGAACTACCCAGCCATTTACACAATATCTCCTAGCTATTAGACAATTCAGTACCATGACACAGTTTAAAATAATGTATATGTGTGTTATAAAATTATATATATAAAATTCAGGTGAATATGTTATAATGGTGCATGATGTTACAAACCCACCATTCATGGGCAAAACTTTAGATCCAGCCTTTATATTAATGAAATTGAAAAAGCCTAAGAGGGAAAAGAAACCTAAAGAAGTGAAACCAAAGTAAGTATTAAGCTTTCAAAAGGAACTTTATTTGTTTTCTTTTGGACTAATCTAATATATTTTCAATATTTTTGACATTATATAGAATAATAGATATGATATTAAGATTTACATGAACTTATTGTTTTATTTTCCAAAATTTAATGACTTACACCAGACTAAGAAAGTGAAGTTCATTTAATGATATCTGATTCATGTTTAACATACATATAGAATAATTTCCCTTTTTTTCTGTATTTTGATTTTATTCATCAGGAACATAGGGATGAAATTTCAAACTTTAAATAAAATTTTGATTTAAATTTGAAAAAAAAACACATCCAAATTTCTTCCTGTATTCATCATTTTAAAAGAGTAAATCAGCCCAGAAAATTGTATTCTCTCTTAAGAAACATAATAAAATTTTAGATTTTTTTTGTTATTTAATTGATTAATGATTTTAATTTATGGTATTTTAAAAAAGTATTATTTAATTATCAATTTCATTATGTTTATTTATAGGAAGAGAAAGTATGTATTTAGTCACTTGGTAGTTTGGGGTCTATGGAAAATATATGTTTGTTTGCTCTGTAATGGTTGATTGAAACTAAAAAAAAAATCTTTACTTTTATTTTATGTGTCTCAGTTGTATTTTTTTTCAGTCTTTTGTTTAACTTTTTTTTCAAATTTTAGCTGCATTAAAGGAAAACATTTTAGAGATTGGAATAATTTTTTCTGTTAGAAGATGTTTTTTTTCCAGTTCTCTTACAGGAAGCACTGACTCTTTTATAAGATATTTGATTTTTGAATGTGTGGAATTCAGAAATTCTACAAATTGTTAAGAAATATTAATATAATATTGAACAGTTACCCTAAAATTGGAATAGGTATTTTACATCATATGTTTTTGACATTTTCCATATTAAGTAGTATAAAGGACTACATTAAGTATACAGATGGCGAGGGGGAGGGGGTTAGGTAGGGCGTTGCAACTACTTTTGATAAGATACTCACTGATTTCAGGAGAGTTACTATTACATGTAAACAGTTTTATATACATTTTTTACCTTGTCTGTTTCAAAAAAAAGGTCAAGCGCTTATGTATGTTCACTGCATTGAAATCATTGTGAAAAAAAACTTTAATATTGCCCATTTTTCAATCATTTTTTAAAGTTATCAACATGAAACTTGGAATATGAAAAAGAGGCATAATTCTGAAAGCTATATTTTTGGAGTTATGCCCGTTTTTAATTTAGAATTTTTGTCAAAATTGGTTGCCCCCTTAACACTGCATGCAGTGCTCTTGCTCTAGAAAATTGTTTGATAATTTGTTCAGTGAGGGTGGGAGCAATAAGTATAAAACAATATTATCCATGAAGTTTAAGAAACAGTTACATGACTGACTTATAGGATTCAGGTTACACTGAGGAAATTAGGAGAAATTTAACAAATAATTTAAATTATACCTACACAATGATATAAGTTCCTGTACTAAAAATTAAGGGAATATTAAGATAATTTTGAGGTTTGGATATTTAGGGTTGGGAAGTTTTTTTTGTTTTGTTTTTTTTTTAAGCAACTACCTGTCAACAAGTACGGCCTCCGTGGTCGAGGGGTTAGAGTCGATGACTTCTAATCCAGTTACCTCTCTGGCGTGGGTTCAATCCCCGGGAGATACTTTGGTAGTTTAGCGCGGAGGAAGGTAGTCTAGTACTGGTGTATCTCTCCAGGAATGATGGTTAGGAAACTACTCGCCTATATGACTGAAATACTGTTGGAAAAAGGCGTAAAATGAAACAAACAAACAACCTGTCAACAATTATACCCTAGCTTTTTGTGAACAGTTGAACTGAATATTGATATGAATCTATTTAATTAGTAATGTCTGTGTAAATATGTGTCACACCAATTAGTCCCAACTTTATATTACATAGTAGTGCTATATCCAAATAGTTATATAGTTTCTTTATCTTATTGTAAGCATTTTGTGTATGGTTCATTTTGCTGATGTAATCAAAATTTTATTGACACATTATTTTAAAAAGGTTATTTCCATGTTTCTTTCATGGTGTTTTTTATCTTTATCATTTTATTCTGATGCGGTTTAATTACTGAGCAAATTAAGAAGATTTATACAGGTTAAAGTCAAACCACATTGTGACTGACATGGTTTTTGGTTTTTATCAGTTATCAAACTTAATGTTTGTTCAAAACCCATCAGGATTGCCTCCTAAAATAAGTTTGTCCATTTCACAAATTCAGCAACTTAACAGTTAACCATAATGAGCCACATCATGACAAAACTAACATAATGCGTTTGTGTCCAGCATGGATCCAGACCAGCCTGCGCATCCGCTCAGTTTGATCAGGAACCATGCTGTTCGCTTACAAACTCTAATACAAATAGAGAAACTGATAGCGAACAGTATGGATCCTGATCAGACTGCGCGGACGCGCAGGCTGGTCTGGATCCATGCTGGTCGCAAACGCATTATGTTGGTTTTGTCGTGACGCGGCTCATATGATGCTCAAGACAGTATAGAAGTTATGAGGCCATGGTTGCTCCAAATTGACTAAATTTGTTTATTTTTCCAAAATTGTTTGTGTCAATGTAACATTACTCTATGATATGCAGTCATATGACTTACTTTTTATTGTCAATAAAAGTGCAAAAAAAGATATACCATATCTGGTTACATGTTAATAGTATAATAATCAACAAACTAGGACAGTTTCTTTGTTTTATTATACCACTTTAATTATCATATACACTTGAGTGTATTTTTAACTTTTTTTCTTGGAATAGGTCAGATTTCGGTAAATTAGTTCACAATTAAGAAATTAAGTGCAGTTCGAGGTTAGATATATTTGAAGGACATTTAAAAGTGTGTTTTTTTGTTTTATTTAATGATTTTACTTGGAATACATTTTTAGCATGAAAGGGAGGAGATAATGTGAAGGTTTGTATAGAGGGAGTGCGCTAGAGGATGAATAGAACTGCTAGATTTGCTTTTGTTTAATAGAAAATTAGTCCAGCTAGAAATTCACTATAAATTAAATAAAGAAGTGAATGACAAAAATAGTATAAGTAAATAGGTTAGAATAGTGCTCTCCCTTTATATTTTATTTTAAGTTTTTAATTTTTTTTTTTTTTTTTTTTTTTATGTTTTATTTTATGTTTTTACTTTTTTACCAATGATTCTATATATAGTTATTTTTTTAATCATTAATTGTTGAATGTTAGACATTCATTAATTGTTGAGCTTTAGGTGACAATAATGATTGTCTCATTCAAATGTACAAACATAAAAAATAATTATCATATTAACAAATATTTATTATATTCAACAATGGTCCTTATATAATGCTTTTTTTTTTCTCTGTAAGTACACTAACAATGTTATGTCTCCATGCCTAAACAGCTAGCATTTTTTATCAGACCCGAGTCACACTTTTTTGATGTCAAATACCATCATGCTGTTTATATTGTCTGTTTTACAGGGGCTTAAATTTACAAAGTAATTTTGATTTCAATCTTCAGTTAAAAAGAAAGATGCTGTTTTATTAATATGTAAATATAAAGAATTTTTGACAGGTTAGATGTCAGTTTGCTTATATAACCGACAACTAGCTGCTTGGGTTATATAAACTGACAACAGGTATATAACCTGCTAAAGATTCTTAATAATATATATTTACTTAACTAAGACTTTATAAAGCATTTTGATTTTTAAAATCCAGTGGATTAAAACGGATGGTGTTCAAATTCATTAGCAAAGCTACCGTATTGACAA